AATATATGAATACCAATGTGATATATAGTGCATTACATTGTAATAATGATCATGTGGAAGATTATGTTGGGACATATTGCACAGTGTACAGTATTGCACAGTTCTCGATACCATTTAGCCACTGGATATTGCACAGTTGCTACTGTTCAGTCAGTGCATGTGTACATTTAGGGTGGTTATGGCTTTTGGGAAAAAACTGTTCTTGAGTCTGTTTGTCTTTGCTGTGATGCACCTGTAGCGCCTCCCTGAGGGCAGCAGGCCAATCAGATCAGAGCCAGGGTGGGAGCTGTCCTTGATGATGCTTTTTGCTCTGCTGAGGCAGCGGGAGGTAAATATCCATCAGGGAGGGGAGAGGGCAGCCGATGATCTTCTGTGCTGCCTTTACTACTCTCTGAAGCCTCTCCCTGTCTGCTGTGGTGCAGCTGCCGTACCATACTGTGATACCGTACTGTGATACGATACTGTGATATCATACTGTGATACCATACTGTTATACAGTACGTCAGCAGGCTTTCATGGACGAGCGGTAGAAGGTCAGTAGCAGGTTGGAGTCCAGGTTGTGCTTCCTGAGGACTCTCAGGAAGTGTAACCGCTGCTGAGCCTTCTTGGTAATTGCTGTGATGTTGTCTGTCCAGGAGATGTCAGTGGAGATAAGGATGCTGAGATACCGGAAGGTGTGGACCCTCTCCACATGCCTGTGTTCTTGCTTCTGTTTGAGTAAAAGACTGCCCTGGTATTCTCTCATCTTCTTGCTCTCCACCTGATCTTTTCTCTGTTCTTCCTCTCTTCTTTTCTGTGTTCTTCATCCACCACCCCTTCAATCCAAACCTCTCCATTTACAAAAGGTTATATGCAGTAAAGGCCTATGATGCACCTTCTGTGATTTTATAAGTGAATTTTATGGCAACTTACTGCCCTCAGTTCTGTTATCAGTATCATTTATAGTTTTTATTACATGACGTGAAAATGCATATGCTTTTAAAATAGAATGTTTTATTGCAACTTCATTTTCATTCTGTCATTACCGGGACAGATTTAAACACCAGATTTTAAAAAATGTGAATATCCCCAACAGTACACATGAATAATCAAACCAAAAGTGTTCATTCACTGAGACATTAAGCAAAAATGCTTCTACTGTGTTTAATTAATTACATTTCTTTTAATTAAATACTTTATAAGACTCCAGTGAGGAGTATTACTATGTGACAAATAACTTGTAATCTAAATTAAGATTTTTGAAGTAATATATTGGTGATCCTCTGCTGGTAAATGTATGAATGAAATGATCCATCCATCTTCCATCATTTACCCTAGACAAGGTCATGGGTCTATTCCATGTAGCATAGAGCACAATGCAGGGTACACTGCCAGTACGGTGCAAGTTCATTGCAGGACACAAACACACAAACTACAGTCAATTTAGACACCAGACAACACAGCTTAATTCTGGACTGTAGGAGGAAACTTGCACAAAATAGAACATTCAAACACCAAACCCCTGGGAAGTGAGGCAATCGTGCTATCCTCGATGAATTAATGTAACGTAGAATTTAATTTATAAGTAAAGCTACCACTAGAGGGAGACAGTTATCTAAATATAAAACTGGCACTCCGCGTTTTCTTTGTTATTGAATGAGTTAGTCAATCGACTCCATTTCAACGTTTTGTACTAAATCGCGACGTTGAATTTTTCACAGGTTAATGCTATAGTATTCAGAGACGGACAGTATTTCAATTAAATGTATTTAAAATATATATATTTAATTACTTTTGAGTATTTTGTAATTTGTATTTTGCGAGATTTGAGATTGTATTTTATGTATTTAAAATATTTAAAATACTTAATAAAATATGTCATTTTATTTGTTTATTTATTTTCTGTCACTTTAAGAACTGTCATCCCCAGGCACACTGACACATTCTTACATCCTTTTGGATCCGGCTCCCGGCTCCCGGCTCGCTCGTTGTGAACTTCATTTCCCTAATGACCAGTAATCTAAGGGAAGAAGCTGCTTTGGTATCGCTGCACTTTGCCTTAAGGTGAAGTATGTAGTAAAATACACTAGCAGATATCACTCACTAAATGTCTTTATAGGACAGAGAAAAGAGCAATCGACAAAGAGCAGTGCTGAGCTCCAGAACTTGTGAATTAACTTACTAGCCTGCTAGTGACATTATAGTTAATTTCAACAGGCATGCTCAGTGGCATCTTGTGATTTGTCATACATGGAAGGCTTCATTAACAATGAATTAGGCTAGCTGCACACACATGACGCATCGTTACAAAATTATAACTTGTGTTCTTGTCCTTAAGTCTTTCTGATTGCTGTATTACTGCTTTCTCAAGACTTATGTTTAAGACCAAGCCAAGACCGCAACAAAAAGGTTTACTGACCAAGAATATATTGAGACATTTCTGTAGGTCAGAGGGGTCACAGTATGTGATAGCTGCAGTCAGATGTTGTGACCCCATAAAAATCCAGAAAAAACAGGGAAGTCAAAAAGACTTCAGGTGACTTATCATAAATAGACATTATAATTCTGTAAAAAAAAAAAATCATAACTGAGGTGTACAGGTCAGCTCTGGCAAAAGGGTGACTTTTTCTGACATCTAATGTAAGATCTTGTGACCCCAGAAAAAGCAACAATACATCATTGAAGTCGTGTTGTCTTTTCGCCTTGTTCACACACTTCTAATGTCTGCACATTATATCGAGCATTTCTAGCTGTCAAAGTGAATGTGGCGCCCCACAATACACGGTATCGTACTTCACTAAATTGTCCAAATAAGTATCAAAGTAAAATAAGAAAAATGAAAAGAATAGCTATTATGTTATTTGAAAACATTTTTTAATCTAAACTTCCATTTACATAGGCCTACATGAATATGTCCTTCGTCGATAGTTCTATTTAGCTTGCAGGCATTCACTTTGAAATAAATTAACCAAAAATAAAAACGAGCAATCGTGAAAAAGAGTCGCAGCATCGGCTATGGTTTTTGCAGCTCAGAAATGCCCACTCTTTCAGCCACCTATATAATTTGCAAATGTTCATTTTAAAAGAACATGCAGAAGAGGTATTTGCGATCATAGCTCCCGAGACAACGCTAAGAAACACAAATACAGTAAAATCCCGTTATAGCGGACTCGCTTATAATGGAATATCGTCTATAACGGACAAGGTCCGCTGGTCGGTGTTCCGGGCAATTCAGTTTCCCTATGTTTCCCCTGTCGCGCGCTGATTTGTACACGGTTTCGCTGTTGTTTTCATGTGTTTTTACAAAGCTCTTCAGGTAAACAAGCCATATATTTTAAAATATCACATGCCTTTTCGATGTTTCGATGTTTTTACTGATAATAAATGAAAATATTTAATTCGCTGGATAGAGATATTTCTTTATGAAAACGGTATAGTATTGCTTATAAGACTATATTATGCGTGACGATCTACTGTACTCATACTGTAATAATGTACCTGAGTGATTTTCAGACATCTCACATACATCTTTGCCTAAATATTAGAAGAAACATTATTTCCTGACATCCAGGATATTTGGTTCCCCCCTGTTAAAACAGGTATACAGCAGCTCTGGGCCTTGGTACTAATAACAATTCTGTATTCACATGTAATAATGTACCTGATTGATTTTCAGACATTTCACATACCTCTTTGCTTTAATATTAGGGGAAACATTATTTCCTGATAGACAGGAGAAACATAGGGAAACTGAATTGCCCGGAACACCTGTTTTAGCTGTAGTTTTGTTCGGCTTTAACGGACATGCAGCTCCGCCTACAAGGCGCGTGGTGTGCCGGTGATATCCAGCGCAGATACGTAGTCGGGATTATTAATAGTCACGCATCTGGTCAGGTGAAGTTGGATTACTACATGTACAGTATAATAATCTATACCACAAGTATGTCTGCTGGGGCGTGGCATGAGTAAATGGTGCCCTGTAGTTGTGTTCTGGGCATACAGCAACTCTGGATATAACGGACTTTGGATATAACGGACTGTTTTGCCAGGTCCCTTGTGTCATGACCTGCTCCTACGATCCTCGTGTGTGCCACGCCCCCTCATTACCTACGCGTGCTACCCCGATTGTGATCACCTGTCGCCTGTTATTTTCTGCTTGTCTTGTGTATTTAGTCCGTTTCCCCAGGTCCGTCATTGACGTAGTTTGTGTGTGCTATTTTCCTATTTCATTACTATTTTACTTTATTTATATTACAATTTTTTATTAAATACAAAATGATGATGTGAGAAAATGTATTATTTTGCTATATTAGATGAGCAAGTATTTGTAATTTGAAACAAGATACTTTTGGATGTATTTGTGCCCATCTCTAGTAGTATTTATGCGTACGAAAATTACGAATGCGTTAAGGTGCTCACAATATTAAAAAACATACACCTTTCAAGGAAAAAGGTGATAAAAACGAACGGTAAGCGCATTAAATGAAAAGCTGCCATTCCCACTTTTAAGACCCCGAGTCATGTCAGGACACCGGCAGATACCTCTCCGGAATGGGAGACCAGCGCCAGTCAGATCATTAGGTGGCGCCAGTGAACAAGCCCTTTGAACACTTGATTGTGTGTGTGTGTCTATACCAGCCGAGACTGGTACTTAGGTACCTCTACCACAGACAAAGATAAACATCCAATGAGACTGACATTGGGAACATGAGGGGGCTACAGAATTTGGGGAAATCCTATTGCTAAGGCTGAAATTGGTAAATGACATCAGCTGCATCATTAAGCCTGATTTTTTTTTTCTTTTGGTATGAAGCAACTGGAGCATCATGAAAATGTTGTCAGGTGACTGTAGCAGCTCTGCCTTCCAGTGGAGTACAACCTTCTGTAAGCAAAGTTTCCAGCACTTTCCTCACAATTTGGGGCCAGGGGGACCTTAAAGGGTGGACAGTCTGTTAATTTCCCTATACTCTCCTGGAGCAGATTTACCTCAATGCCATCAGACGTGAAAACAGCTGTTTGTGAACAGCTTTGACATTTGATGTCAATGGTGCATGATTCCTTCAAGACAAGGTGCGTCCAGGAAAAAGTGTACATCTAATATTCCCTCACAGAGCTCAAACACTATGGTCTGCTCTCCAGACATTTGCTGACACTGTAAGATCCTATAATCACATTGTTTAATTATTCTGTCTGGGGAAAAAAAGACAAATTTCTTGCCTGGGATGAAATTGATTCATTGTCAAAGTGCTAGGGGGTGCACAGATTTAATTTTCACTTCTATCCAGTGTTACTATTATAATGCCCATCAAAGTGCCTGAAAGAAACAGCTCCAGAGCACATTTAAAAATAAGTACCATGTCAATCTGAATTACTTAGTGATGTTCATTTTTAAAAATGCAGATGCACTTCTTACAAAAAATGTGTAGAGGCCAATGTGTACGGCCCAGTCAGTGGCTCTGCAAACCTCCAGGTTTGCTGGAGTTCTGTGTGTGCCAAGATTGCAGGTTCTCCTAATGTTTATGTGACTTTTTTTCAAGGTACTTTGTTGTCATCAGCAGCTGTGTGCACATACATAGCGAGATGAGACAACGTTCCTCCCTGGACTGCAGTGCAACATACAACATAGAACAAGATACAATACAATGTGCAAAGGACAAAAAACAGCACAAAACAGTGCAACAATATACAATATAGAGCATTCTGTCCACAAAATTGAAATATAACCAGCATAATGAAAAGTATGTTGGGCCCCAATGGAAATTTTAGCAGCTTTTGTTGAGTATTATAGGTAAAGTGCAAGTGCCATTGAGATTTCTGGCGGGTTCTTTGACTTACTACTGTAGTACACATCTGGATTACTTGAACTAGTCTCTCTGAATAGGTGTTACAACTGGGTTCCTCAATTCTAGCCCTGGGGGGGGGGCAGTTTGCAACACAGTTTTTAGATTTCCCTACTCAAATACACATGCTAAACCTGGTAATTAGGTGATTATGGTGTGTTTGCACAGGGAAATCTGCAAACTGTGTTACAGACTGGCCCTCCAGAAACCCTGCCTTAGAATGTGAATGAGCAATATGATGGACAATATGAATCCAATATGATGGACTGTCATCCATCATATTGCTCATTCACATTCTAAGGCAGGGTTGCTAGGAGAGCACAAACATCACAACTTCACAATGTTCACATGCCTCAAATTATCTAGACAAGCATGAAATTTGGAAGCTTGTTTCCATAACAAACATTAATATACCACCACCCCCCCTCCCCCACTCTTTTACCCTGTGTACCATAATTATAGTCATGAAAGCATTTATCGCCCTGAATAACAGATGTTTATATGCCTGAATGCTTCCTGTTTTTGAGTGCTGAACATGTGAGTCACTCAAATACATTCAGTAACTGCTCTCTGGAATCACTACTATTACCTCCAGTTAAACACCCGACCAACTCCTTATAAGGAAAAAGCAGATGGAATTTTGTTTATTTCACTGTGAAGGATAATAAGTGTTTTCAGTTTATTCCAATAAGTCCTCATTTCTCAGCAAAGGAAAAAGTCATATTTCTGAGAAAAATAAGCAAAGCATGCACACCTGGTTGTTGTCAGTCTGTGATGGTCATGGAGTGACTGCACAGGGAAGGCTTTCATGGAGACTGTTTTACACATAAATGCGCGCACACACATACGCGTGTACATGGACTTTTGCATTTGCATCTAACATTATTGAGTAAACATTGGACTGGTGTTTTAATAAATGTAATGTACATGTCATGAAAAGAAAACACAAGATTATTTTGTTATGCTGTGGACATTTATTGTGCTTAGGTAGGGACGTAAACTTGAGCGCAAAAGAGATGTTTGTGCATAAAATGATTACCGTTTGTGCAGTGAGTGTTGTTCTGGTCTTCGGTCTGGCAGCGTCTGCCCGGCAGCAAAAGGCTGCCATCAGGAAGCGAAGAATTATTATTTGGTTCCGGACCTAATTGGCCTAGTCCATGCTGATTATGGCCAGGGGGATGACAGAGGTGGCCTTGATCAAACCACCTCTGTATTGTGTCTTTTCCTGTGCTACTAGGATGGGCTGTTTTTGTACTTATTTATTAAATCTGCTTATTTGCATATGTAAGAGCGTGTGCTTTTGTCTTAGTCTCTCTTGTTGTGTAGGGGTTAATTGATTTTTATGTGTTCACCATGGTTTGTAAATGGTGCTGACCACCTGCTATATGTTTGCTTGTCTAGTCTTATGTCAGAGTCTTGATTGTTATGTTGCGTGTGAGCACAGAGGCTCTGCAAGTGTTGTGACTTGTCCTCTGCATTTTAGAGGCTAGCAGATTGAGAATTTTGTGGTATTTTGTAAGTTTTCCTGATTTTCGAATTTCCTAAATTTTGGATTTTTTTTTCTTCTTTGTAATTCCATGGATTAATTTGAATTTGGTGTATGGACATTTATTGCTTGTTTTTTTTTTTCTTCCAAGCCTGAAATTAAATTATTTTGTCCATTCTCATACTGATTTTTCTGGCCAAATCCCCTTCCATTAAACAGCGTCCGCTCAGCTACCACCACACAGTCTAATTGATTTTCTTCTGACGCAGGCAAATACTTTAGAGCGAAGCAATTGCTATTAGACAGTAAGACTTATCAGGTTAGAGTGTTTTGCTAAATGCTCAGTCTTGCTGTTGAGAATGCTATGATAGTTGTAGGACGTAGTATGCACAGGTGCTGCCTGATGCTTTAGGCCCTGTGAAAGCATATCAAATTGGGCCCCCAACCAGCACCAACCCAATTATGTTTCCACATTTTTAGGGCACCTGTAACTCAGAGTCTTATGTTCTCCCCTTTTACAGCGTTCCTCTCCGTGTGCTGTCATCAGCTGAACTCACTCGAATGGTTTCAATGCGAGGATACAGACCCACATTTCTTCTGAACCTGGATTAGGCCCTATTACATCTTATGATTCAATTGACATAGACATGCTTGAATAGAAGCTGGGGGTGGGCAACTTTACACATGGAAGACCCTCTGTTCGCCTGTCACAGGTGCAGGGAGCTTCTTTGTTGTGTCATTGTGGTGGCAGATGGCTGTAGGCTTGTACAAAGGCACAAGATGATGGGGATGAATGGAATAAAAGGGTCTATTGAAGAAGAAGAAAAATAAAAGGCAAAATGGAGAGGAGCCCTATGTCGATAGAAAATCAGTGATTGAGTTATCCTAGCCTAGCCCAGCTATGCTAACAATACTCACTCTCTTATCTACCATCAAAGTAACCGTAATGGTACTGACACTGATGAGGGTTAGTCAGGCCTCATTAACGGATTGCCTACAGACCAGGGGCTGATGATCTCTCACCATGGCAACCCTCAAGTTCAGCTAAAGCCCATACTGCTCTTTTTTTTTGCATGATTTACTTCCAATTTATTGAACAGGGAGCTTGTCAACATACAAATAAGAAAAATACCATAAGAGGCGGCATGAAGACCAAAAATAAGTTTTTAATGAACGTAGAAATTGTGTGTTGAAACCTACGGGTAAGGCAGATTTACTTAACGCTGTTGGTCTTTTACTGGTTAACCCACCTTCCTGCCGGTTACTCTGTCACTTCCTGTTGTTTCAAATCAGGCAGTGATCATGGGTATTAAAATCTCATTTTCCCTATGATCAGTTTTTAGGAGTTTGTATTTAAGGGCACCAGCATCTGTATCGTATGTCTGGAAGGTTCTGCTCAATGCTGCAAGACACCAGAACCAAATAGTAGCCAGAAAACCACCCAGTCATCTGAGATATGAGTTTTTGGATGAGTGACTGCAGTCCCAGGTAAGGATTAATATCAAAGACTCAACTCACAAATCTGCACAATTTTCTTGGTCCATAATTAAATTTAGTCACACAATAAGGCTCCAGTTATGGTGCCATCAACCCTAGCAGTGAATCGGTAACAGCCTTCATCCACCCATCCATCCATTCATGTTTCCATCCATCTAGTCCTAAACCTGGTCACAGGTCAATAACATAACGGGGCTTGGAAATCCGAGCTTACATCTACTGCAAAGCACAGCCTACCCACTACTGTGTTTCAGGCAGGCTTTTAAGGCCAGATAAAAGCATCTGCAAAGATGGATGCCCAGGAAACAGAAAGCGTAGATAATCCATCCGATTATGCTCACGGGAAAGACAATGGGTGCCGGTTTTCATCTGCTTATATCGTAAGTTGATGGGGGTTCGTTATGGGGGGTTTTACTCATGTCTGCCTACAATTGGAAGAGTCATGCTTTGAAGCCCGACTGGATAAAGATTTATACGTGGGAAAGGCTACACAGGGGCTCCTTAGGTCCTTAGGAGAGGGCTGAGACCAGGACTGTGCAAAATGAGAGAGGCTGCTATTTTCCCTCCTTTTTCTGCTCACATTTCTTAACTCTGAAGCTTAAGTTGATGCCGAGTCCATCCGAGGCACTGTTCTCAAGTCGGGAGGCTCTGGACGACTTACAAAGGTTCTATCATGGCGAAGAGACTAATGAGCTGGAAGGCGAAGCTTTTGATTTACCAGTCAATCTATGTTCCTACCCTCATCTGTGGTCATGAGCTCTGGGTAGTGACCAAAAGGATGAGATCGCAGGCAAGTGGCAAAAATGAGTTTCCTCCGTAGGGTGTCTGGGCTCAGCCTTAGAGATGGGGTGAGGAGCTCGGACATTCGGGAGGGGCTCAAAGGAGAGCCACTGCTCCCCTGCATTGAAAGGACCCGGCTAAGGTGGTTTGGGCATCTATCTAGGATGCCTCCTAGATAGCGGTGTTTTGGGCATATTCAACCGGGAGGAGGCCCCGGGGCAGACCCAGGACATGCTCCAGAAATTATATTTCTCGGCTGGCCTGGGAACGCCTTGGTATTCCCCCGGAGGAGCTGGAGGAGGTGACTGGCGAGAGGGAGGCCTGGGCATCCCTGCTTAGACTGCTGCCCCCGTGACCCAACCCCAGATAAGTGGCAGAGAATGAATGGATGGATGGATGGATGGAAGGAAACAAAGTGGAGACTGGCTTGACAGCATCAGGATGAATCTGTATTGATTTATCCATCCATCTATGCATCCATACATCCATCCATCCTGGTCAGGATCACAGGGAAGTCTGGAGCAGGGGAGCAAGGCTGGGATATACCTGGGACAGGATGCCAGTCCATTGCACGGCAGTTACTCAACCATACAGATATCAGTTGGAGCAGATGAACAGAGCAGGCATGCTTACAAATTAAGATCAGTTTTATTCAAACCCCATGGAACATCCAAAGACCAACAAATCAACAGTGGTAGAAGCTTTCAAACCTCACAAAGCCTACTTTCACTCAAACCCAGCTGTGATATGAGCAGTTTCACAGGATGATACCTGAAGAGAGAACACAATTACTGTGAAAGCAATGTCTCTGACAGTGAACATGCATTTCATGTTGGAATTAAAAGCTATAGTGTGGTATTAAGCAAAATGAATGTAAACCAATCTCAAAGGGCAGCCAAGGTTAATGAGTGAAACTCCAGTGCTTCCCGCTTCAGTTGAGTAAGAAATGCAAACATAAAACTGAAGAAGGAGAGACAAATTTATTTTGATAGTAATATCATATATGAACTGCCTAACTGGGTTACCTATGGCTTTAGACTGTGGTTTTGTGGTCTCAGGTTATATGTACTTGCTTTACCCATGACAATAACTATGATTAATGTACCAGCAACTGCAAACTTTTCAATGAATAAGTTCAGATGGCCTGAAACAGGACGTAGCAATTGAAAGTTTATTTTGATTATGTTGAGCTGTTGTACAGAGAGAACATTAAGTGCAGGTCTTGGCCTCTTGAGAAGGAATTATGGAGCTTTTTTATTCTTTCACCAGCAGGTTTCTGTTAAAGAATGTATTTTGCTTGTGTTTTGTGTTTGTGTGTGTGTGTGTGTGTGTGTGTGTGTTAGGGGAAGGTTTCTGACTTGTCGAGGTGTGTCTGTGGAGCCTAAGGAACTGAACATTCTGGAATGTGAACACCAAATGTACCTCATGAACCAAGCAGCAAGGAGAGTGAGGGTGGGGTAACTGTCGTGAGTTGGGGGGGGGGGGGGACTTGTGGAGCAGAGGGTGTGACTGTGAATTGGGTTAAAGTTCTCAATGGACAAAGCAGAAGAGTTTCAAGATTCTGGTAAGTAGCCAAATGAAAACAACTCATGACTGAGAGAAAAAGGATACCACAGTCATAAATAAATGCATCTTACCAAGCCTCCGTGGAGACTGTAGTCCATACTGGATGCTGGTTAACACTCTGTTCCTACTGCTGTTCTAGAAGTTCTGATTCTGGTCACATTACAGAGGTCTAAGCTTCTTCTCCAGAGAGGAAATCTGTCAGGAGTACAAATCATCCTTTTCCAGCCACCAAGGACGACTAACAGAGGCACATAAAATGACATAGTGTCAAAGAATACAGGGACGGCAGCACACTGAGTTCGGAGGCGTCATTTAAAAACCCAGGAAAAAGGCTCCCAGAAAACTTTTTACTAAAACTTTTTTGTGTTCATTATCTCCTTTTTGTTCTTTTTTCGAAGACTAAGCCCTTTCCTCAAATCTTCATTATGACATTATGAATTAATGTTATCTCGTTACGGTCTGCTAAATGGTTGTCACGATTGTGAGTTTTATAAGATGGCAATTTCTTTAATCCCTCAGAAAGCCTTGAAACACTGCATCAATGATGACTCGGAAGGGGTGAAGACCAGTAAACACCTCTTCAAATGTGTGACACCCTGATACTTAAGACTCTACACACTTCACCAAGCATGATAACACACTCAGTTCCACCCACAGTCCTGTAGGTGGTGGTAGTAGACATCACTGTAGAGCAGTGAAACACCAGTGAGTGGGCAGTGCCTGGCTACAAACAGGCCACATGTCAGGGTAAGGCTTTTATTTCTATTGTTTCTGCTATAGAACAAACATTGTATGAATTTCTATACCACTAGGTAAGATCTGCAAATGCCACCTTAAACGTTACGGCTCAAACCATGCACCTCAGAGCCTCGTCGTATCGGCTCTGTAAACTGTGTTTTTCCTGCCTCTGCTTCTTACAACCATTGAACAATTTTGCACAGATGGGTGACCAAGAGACAAATTGAAGCATACTGAAGCGCACAGATGATTTCTTGGATCATCTTGGCCCAGTGTGAAGTGTGGGAAGGTGAATGAAAGAGATTATTCCACTTTCTTCTTATCATTATAACTTTATAAACTGCCACATGGCTTCTCGCCGATTGTCCCACATCCTTTGTGCCATAGACATCTCGGGGGAGTCAGACATCATTCGTCATATTTACCTGCAGCTGTAATTTTCTTCTTCGGTGTGGGTTGAACAGTGGTGCCGGAGATCAGAGCAGGATGGAGCAGGTGAAACACTCTTCCTAAGGGTTCCCAGACTTACATGTCCTTACCAGGTGTGCCGCTATATTCTGTTTGGAGCAACAGAAAGACATAAAGGTACGTTTGCTTTCATGGAGGTTTGGAGGAACCAGCTTTTTCAGAAATCAGCATAATTTGTTCCACCAAACCTTCCTTCACAGTGGTATTTATGCTGCAGTGTTCATTTACATTTTATTTATTTATTTAGTATATGCTTGTATCTAAACAATATGCTTTGTTTTTCTTTAGAAAGATGAACCAGACTGTCGACAGATCAATTGGGGTTTAAGAGCCTTGTTCAAGGGCCCTGCTGTGAAGTCACTCTAATGACACTGGGATTTGAACCAGCACCCTCCTGATCACAGGCATGATGTCCTAACTTTCTGAGCCACACACCACCCAAACTTAACAGAAGTTCTGATACTAGCCACAACCTGTATTCCCAAAGTGACTCTTCTTTTTCTGTCCCGGTCTCACATTCCAGTTTTAAATTTTTCTATGCGTTCTTTTTGCGACACGTCACCCCTGTCCCTGGCAAACCCCCCTTTTCCCTCTTCTCCAGGTCCCAGCGTCGTGTTCACCCTCCGGATCCAAGATGTTCCCCAAGTCCCATTAACACCCTGGAACAGCCCGATATGTAATACAGGGAGAAAAGCATCGCCATTCACAGCTGTACTCTGTTCCCCGGAGCTCTTGCTGATTAATTATCATTTATTTAGATAGAAAATCACATTACTTAGGTTTTGCAGGTGTAAATAATTTGCTGCCCGGGCGTCTTTCCAGACAGAAGCACATCTTTTGAATGTGAAAAAGCAAAAAGGCATTAATTAGTCTGCTGAGAATCGGGACACGATGCAGCTTCATAAATTCGATGGCACTGGTTGGGGGGGTGGCCCCAGGCTAAGGCTTAGCAGTGGTGAGCTTTCCTTCCATAGTAATGACATCATTAGAACCCTACAGGCTTCTGAGACCCAAGCCTGCCTGATGCTATCCACCGGGAGCTTTGGAAAGTGGGTCCCAGTTCATGCTTAGCCGTAACGGAACCCGGCACCAACCCACCGATCAACCAGCCTCCCCACAGCCAATCAGACCCCCTCAACCATCTCACTGCCATGATCTGACTCGGCCAGAACCTCAGATGTATGGCTCTTAAATCAAACAGCTATCCAGATGAGCATGAATGACACTGGAAAATGTGAAATCGGTCCAATCATGTGGCATAAGTAGCAATATTCAGATTGGTGTCTGCAGCTTGTAATAAGGAAATTTTGTGTGCTGTAGCATAAGGGAGGAAAATATGAAAGTTGCACAGCTCCCATAAACTAGCAGATAAATTACCGTAGCAAAATTTTGTATGTAGAAAAAAACTTCATATACAATATACTATTTTAATTTTATGGCAGTCTACACACAACCTACCGCTAAGATGACTCCTGCAGATTGGAAAGACATCTTTAATATAAGTTCAGAAAAGGGAGGGAGTCAGCCAATATGATTACATGCTCCACACCGGTAAAACAATTGGCCGATCATACAGCCAGACATATCTAAGTGTGCAGGTGGGAGAAAACTAATTCTTGTCTATTTTGTGGAGACTGGTGGGAAACCTGATGCCTGCAGGTGAAGCAGCATCCCAGTTATGTGGTCATGACTTGCGTGGTCGTGATTTGTAAGATTGCCGTCCACTTGAGGACATTTTTGTTATTTTAAGCACCTGAGGCTTCTCTCATGGCTTATTATGCTCAACTGGTGATAATAATCTTAACATACTATGTGGAAAAGAGTGTGTCTGCGATAAAATCCTTACCGCTTTCTTCCTGAATGCTGGGAGAAGGGCCAAGTGTAAGATTTAAATGGCCTATTAAAATGGAGATGAATGTGTTTATATACAAAGTGATCTGCGTTTTTATGTATGTTTTTGCATCATTTTGTCTGCAGGGACAGACTTCTGAACATTTCACACTGAAACTCGGAATGTTCTGAGCTGTTCCATGCTGCGTTTCATTAACAGGCCCCCAGGGATACGGAGGATTGCTTTCGCATCGCTGTGGTTAAGATTAATTAATTTTGTAAACTAGAGCTGGCTGACCCATCGATCAGTCAATTACGGCGCATCTCTAATTGGATGGTGAGATGATTAATGGATAATGTTCATCACTTCATCATTAGCAGTCTTCCAGTCGATTGTGAATCGCAATCAGCAAAACATACTGTCTGATGGGGGACCTTGCCCCTGCTAGTCGGCAAAATATACCAAGGGGACACCCCTGCCAGACAATGGGACCCCCGTAAATATAACTAGCTCCTGATGGCCACCCCAATTAAAATTTTCTGCAGCCACCACTGGTAGATGCACGTGTCACTCTGGGAATGATCTGCAATGGCTGCATGTTCCAGTTCCTCAGAAGCTCAGCATAGACTCCTTCTCTTCAGATCTTTCCCTGTCTTTCTCAGTGGTTAAAAACCTGGGGTCATAAGGTACCGGCTGGATACGTCTCAGCTAAATTCTTCACCTGAAACGCTTGAGTAAAATAACCAACTGTAAAAATAGATGAAAACCACAAGATGTTTAAGTGCCAGTCTGGCTCTGGCTAAAATCTTGTAATTCATACTGCATACCCTACAAAGTGTAAACACATGACCACATACGAAGTTTCAGTCTCTCTGTATTATGCTTTTTTCTGTTCTGCTGTCAAACTACAACAATTCATGAATACCTTGAAGCTTCTTGACAATAAAAAAATGCATTTTAATATTTCAAACAAATTGGGTATGGGAAGAGACTTCAGCAGCAGAGGAGGACAAATCTGAGTCTGCAAGCACTAGGATGTTAGTTACAAAGATACTACAGTATGGCTACAGTCAGCAAGAGTGCCGCGTGAGCTGGAGGGATGCAGAGTGCACTGTGCTGAAGATATTGGGTCTTGAACCAATGAACTGGTGCTAAAGAATCCTTCGTTAAGTGCAGATCGATTTGTGTTCGGGGCCATTAGGGTGAATTCAGGATCACCAGGGGGTGTGAGGTGTGACCACTGTGAGCCAAAGTCACTTTAATATATAGTTTGGTCATCCTTTTATTAAATGTGCATCTTCAGCCCGGATTTCGTTTTCACCTTGTAGAGACCTCACCTAAAGCTCTTTCCTGTTTGCTTTGCATTTGTTTTCTGGGAAGATGTATGAAAGTGGTTTGAAACTGTTGTGTGGCACAGATCCTGGTACAGATCGTGAATATTTCAAGGAGCCGTCACCATTGTCACCACTATTGATGGTTTGTAGATCAAAGCCCCTCGCTGTCTCACAAAAAGCAACAAGCTGTTCTGCAGTGAAGCAGCATCAAGCCAAGCTGAAAAAATGAGAGAGAACATAAAGGGAAAACTGAGGCTTAAACATGTCACAAATTATATTTTTTATTTATTTATTATATTTATTTGTCCTGTAAAAGAGCCACTTTTCAGGATATCAGGGGTATTGGCTAAATGGGGACAGGAAAAGCATAACTCTAAATTAAGATGTGTGAGTGTCTGTGACATTTCAGTGTGCCACTAATGTATGGGACGCAGTAAGGGATATGCACTATATTGCCAAAAAGTATTGGAACACCCCACCAAATCATTGAATTCAGGTGTTTCAATCACTTCCATAGCCACAGGTGTATAAAATCAAGCACCTAGGCATGCAGACTGCTTCTACAAACATGGGTTGCTCTTAGGAGCTCAGTGAATTCATGTGTGGTACCTTGATAGGATGCCACCTGTGCAATAAGTCCATTAGTGAAATTTCCTCACTACTAAATATTCCATGATCTGTCAGTGGTATTATAACAAAGTGGAAGCAATTGGGAACAACAGCAACTCAGCCACAAAGTGGTAGGCCATGTAAAATCACAGAGCGGGGACAACACATACTGAGGCGCACAGTGTGCAGAAGTCACCAACTGTCTGCAGAGTCAATAGCTACATACCTTCAAACTTCATGTGGCCTTCAGATTAGCTCAAGATGAGTGCATAGAGAACTTTATGGAATTGGTTTACATGGCTAAGCAGCCACATCCAAGCCTTATATCACCAAGTGCCATGCAAAGTGTCAGATGCAGTGGTGTAAAGTACACCACCACTGGCCTCTACAGCAGTGGAGACGTGTTCTCTGGAGTGACGAATTGTGCTTCTCTGTCTGGCAATCCAATGGATGAGTCTGGGTTTGGTGGTTGCCAGGAGAACCGTACTTGCCTGACAGCATTGTGCCAAGTGTAAAGTTTTGTGAAGGGGGGATTATATGGGGTTGTTTTTCAGGATTTGGGCTTGGCCCCTTAGTTCCTCTTAATGCTGCAGCAGTCAAAGTCATTTTGGACAATTTCATGCTCTCAACTTTGTGTTAACAGTTTGGGGATGGCCCCTTCCTGTTCCAACATGACTGTGCACCAGTGCACAAAGCAAGGTTCATAAGGACATGGATGAGCAAGTCTGATGTGGCGGAACTTTAGTAGCCTGCACAGAACCCTGACCTCAACCTGACAGAACACCTTTGGGGTGAATTAGAGCAGAGACTGTGAGCCAGGCCTTCTTGTCCAACATAAGTACCTGACTGTACAAATGCTCTCCTGGAAGAATGGTCAATGTTCAATGGGATTAAGGTAAAGGTTCTGTGCAGGCCAGTCAAGTTCTTCCACACCAAGCTTGCCCAATCATATTTTTATGGACCTTGCTTTGTGCACTGGTTGCACAGTCATGCTGGAACAGAAAAAGGTCGTCCCCAAACTGTTCCCACAAAGTTAGAAGCACAGAATTGTTCAAAATGTCTTGGTATGCTGAAGCATTAAGAGTTCCCTTCACAATAACAAAGGGTCCTAGCCCGATCCCTGAAACACAATCCGATACCATTATCCCTCCTCCACCAAACATCATGTTGGCACAATGCAGTCAGGCAGGTATTCTTCTCCTGGCATCTGCCAAACCCAGACTCGTCCATCAGACTGAGA